CTAAAAGTAATAAGAATAAATATAAAAACTAGTACCAACTAATAAACTAATAAATGTTAATGTGAATCCCAATCTGGCACAAGTTTTCTTTCAATCACAATGTACACGATTGTTATCACCTTTTGACTATGGTGATTGATTTGGGCTTGCCAAGCTTTGACGACTTGTGACCTATCTTTCTTCACTTTGGGCCCATGCTTTGAATTTTCGTCTAAACTGAAAATATTTGCGTGTTTTACTCTTCTTTTTTCAACTTATAATTAAATCATTAATTATGTAATTATAATTCTTATTAAATTATAATTAAATGAATATTTATGTAATTTTAATTTTAATGAAAATTATTTTCCCTCAAGCAAATCCTCTCTAACGATTTGCAGTTAGGGAATGAATGAATTATACTCATTTCTCATATGCGTGCAAAATGCAAATTACTCCATATGTTTTTAGCAAGAGAAAAATATATCGAATTATACTCATTTCTTAATTAATTGAGTTTTTTTCCGAATTAATGCGAATTAAATAAGTATTTACCGAAATAATGTATGATTAAAACTATTTACGGATCTAGTGCTAGATTTAACCCGGGTTGGAGAAAGTCACCAAACGGTTTGACGACTTATAAGTCACCAACCGGGATGGCGACTTATAAGTCGCCAAATCGTTTGGCGACTTTTTCATTAAAACATTGAATGGGTCGAGCAGTCCAGACAGAACGCAGAACGCGGCTCCCCCCCCCCCCCCCCCCAAAAAAAAAAAAAAAAAACTTTGGCGATTCTTCGAGCTCCTCTCCATCTCCAGCGACTGCATCAACGACGAGACCCCTCCACCTTGTCAAGGATACTCCACCTCCATCTTCTTCAACATTCTTTCCTAGCCTCTAGGTAAATGAAATCTCCATTTCATCCCATTTTTCATGTTAGGGCTTAGAATGTATAAATTTCAAATTTGTAAATTAGGAATTGATTTGTGAATTGATTTGTTGTGTAATGTGCATATGTATGAAATGTTGAATTTTAATGTTGAATTTAATGTAATATTTTGATTTTGTTGCGGATTTGTTGTGTAATGTGAATTTTAATGTAATTTTTTGACTTTTTTTGAAAATGTAATATTTTGATTTTGTTGTGTAATTATATCACATAGGATTTGCTTAAATATGAGAGTTTTTTAAATATATTGTTATGTCTACGAAATGATGAATTTGGGTGTATAAAATGTGTAGGCACTATGGAGGTGTCTGTGGATCCAGGGCTGATTGATCGTTCTGTCTTGACATTGCAGACCATGCATAGGACTGAGGACGTATGGCGTGGATGTGGACGATAGAGTGTTAGCGTATGTTAGAGCAATGGGGTGTTTTGGTGTTCACAGATTGGTGGCTACTGTCCCACTTGATAGAGCTCTACTCACTGCTCTTCTTGAGCGTTGGAGGCAGGAGACACACATTTCACCTTCCAGTTGGTGAGGTGACAGTGACCCTGGGGGATGTGGCTGTATAGACTCGCATACAGGTCCATGGGAGAGCGGTTACAAATACAACATGTCGACCATGAGTTGAGGATGTGGAGCGATTGTTGGGTGTTCTCCCCCTTCTCCGGACAGACATTCATGGGTCATCTTTGAACATGTCATGGCTTAGGGAGCGTTTCGTTGTTCTTCCTCCGAGGCAGACGAGGTGATGATTCAGCAGCATGCACGGGCATACATTTTGATGATGACAAGAGCTTCCATTTTTGCTGACAAGAGTAGAAATGAGGTTCAGGTGCTGCCCTTGCCGACGTTAGAGAGATTTGATGTAGCTGCATACTTCAGTTGGGGTAGTGCCACTCTGGCGTATCTGTATAGGCAACTTTGTCGAGTATGTCAGAGTGGGAGCACGAAAGTTTTTTTTTGCTTTTATTACAGATTTGGTCGTGGGAGTACATTCACATTGGGCGGCCCATTATAGTACGATACCATGGACTAGATGGACACTCACTTCATGACCAGCCTCCACGTCTCCATGGACCACATCATCGACGAGGCGAGGACCCTCTGGGGCGTCATATGTTTTAGAAGAATATATTTATATTATTTTATGTTCTGAATAATTATATTAGTTATATTTATATTAATATATACTACATGAATGGTTAGATGACTATTTGATGATCTTTGTCACACATCATCGGCTTCTGGACTCAGTTTCTATAGGGATGCATTTGATCGCATGTTTGATGATTAGGTTTGGTGTACATAATATAACATTAACTATCATATGAAAAGAGACTAATTTTTAGCCTTTTGAAACATATTACATGGATGCCATATACAACCCAGATGTTAGAGGAGTTGTCCCCGGCAGGACGAGAGCGTTATGATATATGGCGAGCACGTGTCCCGTTGATATGTTTTGATATTGTGGAGCTTCATTTGCCTAATCGTGTACTGCGTCAGTTTGGCTATGAGGAGGTCATTCCAGCAGTTGTGGACACATGTGTGGATTCTTCATAAGCTGGATAGGCGTGGGAAGCATACAGAGGATTGGTCTCTCAGACATGTGCGATACAACGCTATATGGGAAAGGCGAGCGGAGCTTGTTGTGACTGGGACACCGACATTATTCACGTCTGTTTCCGCATACTAAATGAGATGGTATTACAACATCACACAATTTTTTGTCTCTCCTTTCAGACTTCCTACTCACCATTATCAGCCTAGTTCCATGCTTTGCACTTGACGGTAAGTCTGCTACTAATTACTTAAGTATTTCATGTTCTTTATTTAACATTTTTATTTATTTCAAAATAATTATAATTTATGTTTCACATTTTAGACACGGGCTTTGCAGCGTATACATGAGCGAGTGACTGTCACAGTGAGTGATACACATGATGTGGACACGTGCGACCAGGTTCAGACAGGCATTGCTTCCTTGTGTTCGGATGTGTTGGGGTGAGTGGACTATGGCCATCTTATACATATGACCCCCTGTCAGGATTCTATGACATCGACATCTACCGCAACAGCAGCTTCTACATCCTAGACTCAGCGTGACAAAGTTGTTATTCAGCCACGTTAGCGGCGTAGGCGTATGCATTACCAGCCACAGCTCCATGACCATGACGATCAAGAAGACCATGAAAACTTGTAGTCCGTCTCCATTATTGGACTTATTCATGTACCCCGAATGTTGCGAAACATTTTACTTTATGACGTATGTCCGCCTGCAAAGTGTTGGATATTACTTACTTGATCATTTGTTTATAATGTGTTTATATGTTGGGTTATGCATAGGATGGTAAACGAAAAGTGATGCTTAGTTTATGTGCTGGGTTGATGTGTTGATGTTATTAGTCTTATGTTTTGATCTATGTTTGTGACCAGGTTTTGTCAAATTGTCTTATGTTTTGATCTGTTTTTTGATGTTTTCTGTTTTTGCAGGGGGAAGTCATCAAACCATATCGTTTGGAGACATATAAGTCGCCAAACCTTTTGACGACTTATAAGTCGTCAAATCGTTTGACGACTGATGGAATATATGAATCAGGGACCCTCGACCCACAGACTTCTACTACTCTAACACAGGTCCAACAGGCCCAAGAAGCACAAGAGGCCCGAAGGACAGCCCACGGTGCACATACGAGTGCCTTCGACCCCATGGCCGAAGGCTCCTAAATCTCACATAACAGCTAATTTTAGGCATACAAACATACTGGGGGAAAAACAACGGAAATCAGGAGCCTTCGGCTCATTCACGCCTCTGGCACTTGGATAGCCTTCGGCTACATAGGGCCTCCGACCACAGGAGAGCCTTCGGCTACAGCACAAATATCGAAGATTCCCTTTGGAGACAAGCAATAGTTGCATTTAATGCGGCGTCACATCCGCCTACCGCATTTAATGCGGTGCACATGCGTATGCCAGTGCCATCCCGATTGAGGTGACCCCTCGACCGTTAGATTGTTGACACATGTACTCTCATCACATTTATTACTGCTATAAATAGCAACCCATTCTCTATTGTAAATCACAACATCTCATATTCGAATACACACTCTTTCTCTTACTTATTGTTCTGACTTCTCTCTAGTTTATTCACCGTAATAATCTTCGGATAAGCTACCATCGGATACACTATCCATCAACGACTTTCCCTAATCAGAGTTAAACCCGGCAGTAGACCGGTAATAAGTTTTAACCAAACACTAGTCGGTAAATAATTATTGGACCGAGTGTCATGGCTTCTGAGCTACTTCCCATCATCAAACCATTCATCTACTTCCATCGACCTTTCTCCTTTGGTTCAGGAAAGTTTGGGTAATAATCTGAGCTACTCCGTATTATTTTTCCCTGGTTTGAGACTTTGATTTGTTAGGCCTTTTGGCCTTTTGGGGATAGACCTGTCAACGGGTCGGGTACGAGCCGGAACGTAGTATCCCAGATCCGTACCCGTTAGCCTCGGTGGGTCTAGAACTAATGTTCCAAACCCATACCCATTGGGTCTCGGAACCGGGTCGGGTAGATCCGACCCATCTCATGAAAATCCAATTCTAATTTCTTAAATAAAAAAACAAGACCTCTTACTACTGAGTACTTTTCTGGCAACAATATGACACATGAACTGTAATTACTTGTTTGTAATTACTCAACCAAACGCAACAATTGTGAGTTGGTTTATAATTTACAAGATACGTAATGTTAGAATAAAGAGTAAAATTAACGGCTTTGGAAACTGAATAAGCTTTTTCTTGAATTATAGGGATCCTTCTTCAGATTTATTAAACTAAATCGTAATGTGGACGGCAACTAATGTAATATGTATATTAGACTAATGTATATATATAAATAAATATTAACGGGTCGGGTCCTAAATGAGTCAGAACTACATATGCCATATCCGACCCATTATATAACGGGTCCGGATCCGGATCCGAGTAACGGAATTAAATGTAGACTCATACCCATTATAAAAAGATGAATCCGGGTCGGGTTTGGGTCTAGACCTGACCCATTGATAGACCTACTTGGGGAGGGTACATTTTTATCCCAATCTTTACTTTTTTTTTGGAGGATCCCAATCTTTACTTTTAGTTAGTCTCAATTGATCATAGTGGGTACGTAGTTGTTTGTTTTATTTTAGCAGTGTGTGAACTAGAAGAAGACCAGAGCGGGAAGAGGGTAACATAGCCCGCAACCGGGCAGACACGGGAGAATGACGGAAGCAATACCCTTCAAGAACCTCCATAACAGAGAATACCAAGGCCACAAGAAGAAGGTACTGACCTCGCTTGAGCATAGTTTCTTCATTGTCGTTGACAAGCTCCTCTCTTTAGAAACCCCTAAATGCCTGCTTTCTATTTCTTCTGAATTTTTGTTTCAAGACTAAAAAGATCTGGTCTTTTTTCTGTGATTTATCTTTGGAATGCAAAAGGTTCATTCTGTAGCCTGGAATTGCAATGGAACCAAAGTAGCCTCAGGTTCGGTCGATCAAACTGCTCGTATTTGGAACATTGACCCCCACAGTCACGTAAGCTTACCCATTTTCATTGATTTTGAAAGTGAACCTTTCTCCTTGTGTTTTGTTCATCGGAAAAAATTCTGCTTGTTTAGTGCCCATTTTCTGTAGGTGTCAAGCCTATTGGGTAAATGGACAAAATATTATGTATTTTATAATTTTCATTCACGTGAGGGGTGATAATTTGCATTAGAAGGATTTATGAGACAACAACACATAGATATCAACAGGGTAAATTACCCCGTTGATATCTGTGTTTTTTCTAAGTATCTTCATCTTCCACAATTAGTTCATGTCATCTGAAGTCCTAATTTTCTGATATTCTTTTGTACACACTTAATACGGATTTTTGATCTCTCATGATTTTTTGTTTCAGATTTTCAATATTCATACTCCACTCTCTGTATTGGAGCACCAAACTCTCTCTGAAACAGTCATGCTCGCATGGATTAATTGGTTTTCACATACTTTATCTTCAATAGGCATTGCTCTCACATTTGAGCTTCTAAGCTAACTCTGTCTTTTGCATGATTATTGGTGTGGTTCTATAGAAATTCTCTTCCGGTCATAGACATGCTTTATGATTAGTCTTGACTCGTACGGTTCCTCCCAATATTAACAAACATGCATTTATTATGTGTCTGTTGTTCTTTTTAAAGCGGGTGTCCAGGTCCTTTTCCCACAAACCCTGGTAAGCCAGGTAAACCTCCCATTGTCCTGCCAGGAGGAGTCAAACTAGTTGCTTATTTTCAAGTGTACAACTGAGACCCATATTTTTATCCAAAGGAAATGTATATTTAGAAAAAGATATTCCCAGATACTACCTTTGGAGTACCTAAGTATATTTTCATCTCCTTGAGAGTTCCTAATTTCTCATCCAAATGTGTTACATATTCCTTAGGAGTGCCTTATTTTCCATCTTTTCTTTCCTAGTTTCTCTACCTTTTCTACTTTTCATCTTCTCTCACACTTTTTCATCTATTCTCTCCTACATTACACTGTTTCTACGCTATTCAGTATCCCTAGTATTTTTTAATGAAAAACTTATAGCTGCAATTAAAAAATGTGGAGGGAGTATTGATTTTGGTTTTTGAGGTGTAAACTAAGTGCTATAAATTGTTTGTTTTCTCGAGTGATGAACTATTGTATTTTTGTTGCTATGGAAGTTTGGAGCCTGCTGTCAGGTCTGTTTTCTATTCGTCTTTCTATCTACATGAAGTAATGATTATGCAGGGAAAAGCAAAAGATATTGAATTAAAAGGCCATACAGACAGCGTGGACCAATTATGTTGGGACCCTAAGCATGCTGATTTGATTGCAACAGCTTCACTTGACAAGACAGTTAGATTGTGGGATGCACGCAGTAAGTTCAAATTCTACTGCTTGCACATTTTTAGCGGCACTTTATCAGAAAGAGAGCTTGTCCTAATTTTTTTCAGAGGATTTCATTGCTTGAAAATCAAGTGTAACTGATATTAGGGTGTAACTGTCTGATTTTCTCATAATAGAGAACTAAAATCAATTGTTGGTAAATTGATATATGAAAACCTGAGAGAACTTGGGTGGAGGTTTAACGTGAGATGCTCACTTATACAGTCATACATGGTCTGTGATTGGCAGGTGGCAAATGTTCACAACAAGTTGAATTGAGTGGGGAGAATATAAATATCACTTATAAACCTGATGGGACTCATATAGCTGTTGGCAACAGGGTAATGCTTTTGCTAATTCATATCTCCAGTTTTTGTAGCGTGACCTTTTGACACTCAAATTGGACGTCTTTGTCTATAGGAATCTAATGTTGGAAAATTGTAAATATGTCAAAGACAGTGCGAAGTGCAAACTGCTCGGTAATGAAAAGTGTATCCATTTATAAATGTAAAGAGTGCACAATCATCCTAGAGATATTATGACACGCACTAAAGCTGCAATGGTGCATTATTTAATGTTACCAAGTGCATTAGAGAAGATACTATGGTGCACTATAATGTTTTTCCCTGCTAAATAACAATTAGCATATTCACGTACATGTCACCACATTCTTTAAAAAGTTCTTATCTAATTCATTTATTCTTATGTGAAGTCCTAGATTTGTTCTCATTTTTCTCCTTTTTCATATTGTGAACTTAAGTAAATGCGATGGACTTACTAATTCAACCTAAATTTATGAGAATACCTCTTATCATAAACATGTGTTTATAGTTGAGAACTTTGAGTTGTTACTTCATTTTTATCATCATTTTCTTTTAATCACATTATCATCATCATCATCATTACCCCAATGCCGCAAAGGCTTCCCACACCTTCGGTGGGGTAGGGGGGTCGGATGCACGCAGTCTTACTCCTGTACTAAAGCACAAAGGGACTGTTTTCAGATGACCCACAGTGAAAATCGCGTCGAAAAATTGCATAGACTGGCTGCTGCATCATAACAGCTTTTTTCAATTTAATTGAGAATAATTGAAAAAAGTCCCTATTTGAGTTTAGGATAATTACTAAGATGGGTACCATATGGATGTTAGTGTGTTAGCCATTCATTTGAATAATGAAAGGGGGAGATTAAAAGGTCTCATAATAACATGTTATCATGGTATAACATGTTCTCATACGAACCTTCTCCTACACACACAATATGTTGCTGGCTTATCTGTTTGGCAAATTCCTAGTTTTGTTATGATCTGTGGCAGGAAGATGAACTCACAATATTGGATGTTCGCAAGTTTAAGGCTATACATAAGCGCAAGTTCAACTATGAGGTACTCTAATATTTTCCTCAGCACTGTAGCCATCGCTGTGTAATTATCTTAAAAGCTAAATAAAGCACTATTGTGTATCATTATATGGTTTCTCTTTTAGTTCCGTTGATGTTCAGTTTTGTAAAGGGGTATCCAACATGATCTTTTGCTGAGTTAGCACTCGAGAACATTAATATATCTGAATATATGTTTTTATGGCGTTGATGAGCTGATCTATCTGCACATGTTGTCCTTCATTTGTGGTAGAGAGAAGAAATGGAATGCATACTTTTTTAGAATTCTCATCACAGATATCAATTCATTCTTCTATGCACTACCAAAAAAGACTTTCCATTGTGCTTTTATTTGGATGAAATGTAAATTGTTTATATCTCCAAAGATGTGTTGCAATCACCGTTACCATCGTTTAATTTAAAGCAAAACAAACGAATAACGGGTGTCCTATTATGCTACTTCTTTTAGTCAGTCTCCCTCCACAAGGTCCTGATTTGAGTATTTCATTTTGACATGACCCACATATCCACAAGTAACTTCATTTGGTATGTAATTTTCCTTGTGTCAGGTAAATGAGATTGCTTGGAATTTGACTGGAGATACGTTCTTTTTGACAACTGGGAATGGTGAGGGCAAATCATTAATCATGCAATCAGATTTAAGTTTTAACTGTAATGAACAGTTGTCGTGTTTTTACTACCATTTATAGGAACGGTGGAAGTTCTATCATATCCTTCTCTCCGACCTGTTGAAACGCTTATGGCTCACACTGCTGGTTGTTATTGTATTGCAATGGACCCACTTGGAAGGTTTGTCTAATACTCGTAAAACATGGCTGAACTGTCGCACAATTCTGATTGAGATGTGAATCAATAGTTTTACAATCTTGAACAGATATTTTGCTATCGGAAGTGCCGATTCCTTAGTCAGCCTTTGGGATATTAAGGATATGCTCTGTGTTCGAACATTTACAAAACTAGAGTGAGTGTACATAAGCAAAATGATTACAAGTTTTGTTTGTCCATAAAGGCATGTGATTTGATTACCTTGTTGTCCAGCAGGGGCCCTGTTAGGACAATAAGTTTCAATCATACAGGAGAATTTCTTGCCTCAGCTAGTGTGGATTTATTCATAGATATAGTAAGTCGTATTGAATCACCTTATGCACATAACTATTGTGTTCGTCCCATTTTCTTTAACTAAACAATTACTTTAAATTTCAATGACGTAAGTAATATAATTCTTTTCTATTTTAACAGTCAAATGTCCAGACGGGACGTTCAGTTCACCAGATTCCTTGTCGTGATGCAATGAACAGTGTAGAGTGGAACCCAAAGATGAACTTGCTAGCCCATGCTGGAGATGATAAAAACAAATATCAAGCAGATGAAGGTATGCCCTCAATGGATGAATGAACTTACTGGATTAACTTTCTCTGTTCTAGTGAATGGAAACACTTCTCGACCATTTTCAGGTGTTTTTCACATTTTCGGATTTGAGAGCCCGTAGCTCCCTCGCAGCCGGCATACGTGTCTTTCCAGTTGCCATTATAATTGTGGCCTACATTACACAAGCTTTGGTGCTACTTATACTTGGGGAGGGGGAAGTGCTCAAGTGAATGAGTGATTGCAGGCAAGTTTAACTTCCAATGGTAATTGTGAAGATGATAATCTTAGACAAGGCACCAATGTGAAAGGAATACACTGCTAATTTAAAAGTTCCTAGACAGTCATGATGCAATTTTGAATGGTTTAACAGTAGCAGCTTTGGTATAAACCAGGTTCCAAATTGGTGTCTAGGAATTGGCAATCCTGGAAAGACCAATAATTTATGTCAATTATTATGAATATAATGTTTCAACACCCCCTAGCTCTGTATTAGTTAGTTTTCCATAGCTCATCAGCTGCAGCATGTATACCAGAGATCACCCTCTCTGGAAGGAGAATTTTGTGACTTGGTAAAAAAACACTGCTTTGAATTTATGCTCATATAATGGGATGTCTTTCCATTCAACAAGCATGTGTTAAGTAGTTGACCTCAATGATTATGATTATTTCTTCAGTCAGTTGTGTAGTTTTCCAATCATATTTTGTCGCATGTTTTAAATCTCAAGAAATTATACTAGGTCGTATTCAAGTATTAAAAATTATTGTCATGCATAACCCGTACTACTTCTTCCCTGACATTTGGAAACGTGTTGAACATCTTCTGAGCAGTGATCTGGAATGGACATTTCATCGGGAACATGTCGTAGATATGAGTGAATAAGTCATATTTGGGGAAGAAAACATATTTAACCCTGAGCAAATAGAGAATATTTGGAGTAAATAGAGCATATTTGTAGTAAATAGAGTTTTGTTTCTGAATTTCAATGCAATAGGTGTCGGTCAATCCTGTAATTTTTTTGTAAACAACGTTTGAATACGAGTTTAAGAAATCGATATGATCTTTCTAATGAGATAAAAAATGATTACAACGAAATAAAATACGGAAATATATGATCAAATCAAATATTTTACTTGTTTGGAATCCACTTGACAATGTTTTTACATTTCAATGTAATACGTTACCTATCCTTTAATATTTTGTTTCCTCGATGTATGCGTTTTTATCTCGTTGAGAAGGTCATATCAGTTCTTAGAGTCTTGTATGTGTTTTACGCTTATATGGATAAATTTCTTGCTCTAGATTTTATACTTTTCTCAACGTAAATTGCACACCTCTATTTTTCATCCTCTAAATAAAGTTTACTTTCCTTTTATGAAAAGAAATTCACGATTCATATTATTTCTGTTTTCTATACAATTCGAAATCACGTAATCTTATAATCTTGACATAGAGTCGCAATACACCAAGTATACGGACATAGATTACTTTATTCCACTCTAGTCATAAGTCTTACGGAGTAATTAACATTTAACATGCTCGGTTGGTGCTCTGCTCAATACATGTTAAAGTTTTTGTTTCTAGCACACAGCATCATTCAGAGCACCCACTGTGGAGAGGTCATTGGGGATAAAAAAAAGTATGAAAAAAGGTGAAAAGGTAAGAAAAAGAAGATAAATAATATGAGAAAATGCAAGGTTGAGACTTGAGAATGGGAGCTGAAATTTTATTTTGAAAGAATGGCATAAATATTACTTCTCAATTTTAAGAAGATAAAAATATGATCACTTTCAAAATGGACAATGGACAGAAAAGTCACTCTCCCTAGCAGCTTCAAGATGTGCATCCATTATTCATTGATTTTCTAATAAAGAAATACTTCGTCTCGCAATTTCAATCTAAAATACTTAAAAAAGTTAGTTCTTCCAATGAACCAAAAGGCTTCATTACTCTGTAAAAAAAGAGAGAATGATCACAAAATGTTGAACATTGTAGCATGTCATGAGGAGATGTATGAATACCGTGTTTTCTTACAATAAAATGAGTCGTCATTAAATACGTAATACATGCTTATCTGGCAAGACTTAATCCACGCCACATCACGTTGAAAGTGTTTATAAGCTAGTTATATGTGTGTACTCCGTATATTATATAGTGGTAAACAAACAACTTATCACTAAAACTTGAATTTTATATAAATATATCAGCAAATATAATATCCAATTGAAACTTTCCTCTTTGTCCTGCCAATCAGCCTATGAATCCACCATGTGGCCTTTGATTCCTCAGAGCGAATATCATCATCGCGAATACACTTCTCACATTCAACCTGCCCATCAACTTTGTACAGTCCAGAAATCATAAATAAATGGTTTTATTGAAATAAGCAGAAAATCACTGAGTTACAAATGTGCTTGCCAAAATACAAATCAAGTACTGGCCGGTGTTCTAATAGAGTAATTGTCAAACTTCAAGTCGGTGGAAATTGAAGCTCACCATTAGTGTAATAATAAAAACATACACAGCAAGGCAAGAATGATTCTTTTAACTTCCCTAAAATTAAGCTTATTCATTGGTTTATGATTTAGAATTGTATTAGGACTTTCCAGAATAGCAATAGCGGGATGATATTAACCTCAGAACCCCTAAAATCTTGATGTAAAATCCACAACCATAGGCAGACCAATACTCAAATAGTGAGGCCCCACATAAGTGTTTTAATCTAAATTGCTTCAAAAGAAAATAAATTTTTCTACCTAAATTGATGCTGCAACTGAGACGCATTAGGCAACAACGTTCATGTTGATGTTGATAGAGATTTATTGTTGTAGTTCAAGGTATGACACCTATAAAGACTGTAATCACTATATTCAGCAAATTGCTGCAAACACTTCAGAGTAATTTAACCATGAATTTTTTCTATTTTCAAATGAAATGAAACTTTACCAATATTAACACACATGCTTAGAAGGAAATCCAGGAAATAAAATATTCAAAATACCACAATTTTAAAATGTTACTAAATGTGCAAAAAAACGGAGTATGAAGAAAACATCCGAACTGAAGTACAAAAAGAAAGAAGAAGAAAAAGCAGGTTTCAGACCAAAATCAGTCACTATATCTTACATAAAAAGAAAGATGAAAAAACACTCACCAGTCTCTTCATCAGCCTTGGATATTAATCCATCACACCTCATTGCAGCTCCCCATCGCATCCAGTAACACGTGTTCTGCTCAATCACTGGCCTTCCACTCCAATCCCCTTTCAAACGTGGGTTAAGATGAAGTACCCTTGGCGGGTCCTCCCCATCCACCGTCTTCAACCCTTGTAACTCCATCATGAACTGTGAAACCATCACTGTCTCCTCCCCAGCCGCAATTCTAGAATCCTTTTCGGAATGAGCCCACCTTGGTGTGCCCACCACCGTTACATGCGTCCCCAAGGACAGTCCACATGAATCACCAATGAAAATGTCACGGTGAAGGAAAAATCCCTCCAATGAAAAAACAATCTCCATCACCTCAATGGACTAACAACCCAACCCGTAACTGGATTCTGCCTACGAACCCTACCCGTCTGTTTCCCGCCACTCCGCAACCGATCAAGAATTGAATAAGTAATTGAATCAGGCACTAAACCCTGTTCTTTAAGTTTAGCAAACAAATCGACCGCCTCAACAGTTCTCCCACATCTCTCGAGACAGTCAAGCAAGATATTATAAGTGATTATGTTTGGAAAACATCCTTCGGCCAGCATTGCATCGAACATCTGACAGGCCATCTCAACTTTCTCAGTCTTTCCAAAACATTCAATGAGTGTGCTATATGTCACCACATCTGGATTCATACCCTTTTCTTGCATCTCTATGAACCTCATATGTGCTTCATCCACATCACCATTCTTCCCAAGACAGTTTATCAAGGAGTTGTAAGAGACAATGTCAGGTTTCCAGTTACTGCTTTCAAGCTCTTCAAATATTTCAACAGCTTCTGCAACTCTTCCAGCTCTACCAAAGCTAGATATCAAAATGTTATAAGTAAACAAGTCTGGTGGGACTCCGCTCTGCTTCATCTTTTCATAAAGGTCGTGAATATGTGGAATTTGTTTTAACTTTCCAAGAGCAGAGAAAATTACATTGTACATGAAGGTGTCAGTGCCTATACCTTTTTCATGCATTTTAGAAAGCAGGTCAATAGCTTCAATTAACTTCCCAGAAGTGCATAAACTCTCAAGCATTGACAGGTAAGCATCTCTATCTCCCTTATCATGGAAATTCCACATGGAGCAGAAAAGCCTGTGGGCTTCACTGGAATGGCCCAATTTATTTAGTGTCCTGACAAGGTATGCGTATGTTGATTTATTCATAAATCTCTTGGAGACTTCCACAACTTCATTAAGTCTATGGAGCTGGCCTTCTGCTGCTAGAACATGTAAAATGAAACTGTATGTAAGCTCGTTTGGCCTGCAATTGTTTTCAATCATCTTTGAGAAAAGAAAAAGGGTCTTCTCGACCATGCGACTCTTAGAGAGTGATTGAATCATTGTGTTATAAGCAATAAGATTAGGAGAGCAGCCATTCGAAAGCATTTCTTGGAATAAAACTAGGGATTCATTGGGTTTCCCATTTTTCCCATTCATTCTAATCAGAATTGTGTAGGTGTACACATCAGGCTTGCAGTGCCTCTTTTGCATGTCCTTGAAGACCGTGCTTGCTTGTTCTACCTGGCATCACACAACATATCAGAACTTTCAGAATCCATGAGTATAATTTCATTTTACTTTACATAGTATCGCACACCAAACAGACCCAATAAATCAAGACATAAAATTCCTCACAATGTATGTTCAAAAAATCCATAAATATTCTACTCGGGGTCCTGAAAGAACAAAAATGGATCTAGCAAGTGGTAATCCTATTCCAATATTTTGCAGTGCCATAGATCAGGTCCTTATTACAACCAAATAATGAGCACTGACAAATGTTTTTCTATTTGTGCAAGGAAAGAGAAAAAAGTGGTAATAGAAATGTAGAGACGAAAAAGGACAGTTTGTATCTACAAATGCCCAATGCACTTTTCAGCCATAACCCTTCTGGCGCTAACATCTAAAAGCCTTATTTCAATAAGTCAGTAAAGAAGATGAAAGCATGAAACTAACTTCATAAGCAAGTTAATCATGCGATTAAGGAAGGAGCCACAACTCAAAAGAACGGACCTTTTCATCCTTGGCAAGAGCATCGATCAGTTTATTGTATGAGAAAATGTCCAATTTGTATCCGTGTGTTCTTATTTCTCGATAAACACCGAAAGCCTTATTCGAGTCACTCAATCTCAGGTACGCCTGAAGAAGACACTTGTACGTATAGCAAGTAAACCTCAACTCCCATTTTTTTACTAAATCTAACCACCGGTTCAGCTCGCTGCCATCTTCCCCTTCGCAGCTCCCAATAACTCCTATAAGAAGATTGACGGTGGAAATGTTACCGCGTGTACGAGACCGCTCCATTTCACTCACGATTTCTCGGATGTGATCGAGGCGGGTCGGGAGGGATGATTGGGACATGATGAGAATGATGCGGTTGTAGGTGAAGGCGTCGTGCCGGAAACTAGGGATTTTTGCGGGGCAAAATTGGAAGAACTTGAGAGCGAGGGCTGGAGATTTGAGCGACTTGAAAACTTCGGAGGCTTCCGAGGGAGTTAAAGTTCGAGACAAGGAATCGAGATATTCTGAGAGGTCAAGGAACCGGTCCGACGAGGGAGAAGAAGGCGCCTGGAGAATCTGAGAGACCTTACAAATGATGTCTCGGCGGGGAAGAACATAGCCGCGAGCGTCCATTTGGAAAGTCGGGGAGTCGACTTCGATGGCGAATGAGCGACCATTGTCAGCTTCCGCAACCACCCTGCCGCTGTACTTGCTCGCAAAACTACGGCAGTGCTGATAATTCTTGAGGGTCGAGTGGAGGCGTCGACGGTCAAAGAGGCGGACTACCATGGTCAAAAGGATAAGTCTTCCGATGCAGACATGTGTAAAACATGTAAAACTTGTTATAAATAAACTTCACACAATCTTTTAAAATAGATCCAAAATAAATTTTTAATATAAAGTTATGGCATACTTTACACTCATTTTCTCTCTCCGCAACATTTTTAACATGGTATGATGAGAAAGTAAAAAGCAAAAATTCTTCTTTTGTTTTCGCTTGGACTTCTCTTTTTTTAAACTTGGTGGTTGTTTCCTTGATTGATTGCATCTGAGATTGTAGGGAGTCATGTTCCTATTAGATTATGAGGAAGCAAAGAAGTACCATGAAGTGTATGAGCGGGCCTCAGCAGATCTGGAGAAGATACGTGCCGAGGTGTCAGAGCTAAGGGCTGTGAAGATTGCCGCTGAAGAGGTCCAGAAGAAGAATGTCATCGCTTTGGCAAGTGGCAACAATGGCCAAAGCTAAGGAAAAGGCCAGAGCGGCGGCTGCTGAGGATGGACAAAGCCGGGGCGGATGAGATCCTTCCTCGATTTAAGGCAGGAGGCTGGGAGGTCGAGATGACCCAGGCCTGGGTGCACTTAGTGATCTCAGTTTTGGCATGATAAGTGGCTGCTCACCCCCGAGGGGCAGAAGTACATGGTCAATGATGGTTTGCTCACTTATGTCGAGGCTGAGTAGCACATGCAACTGGTGATGTACCACCAGCTATGCCGAATGGGATAAGGACTTCTCCCGTGCCAGCTACGGTCTGCCTCCTGTGAAGAATGATCCACTTGAAAAGATGAAGAAACCCTCGGCCGAGAGGCAGGATCCTATCAACGACTCAGACATTGAAGTTGATGTTGTTGATGAGGAAGTCGAGCAACCCGATGGCGGCGGCAAGGGAATATAGGATGGCCGTCTTATTTCCGAGTTGGAGGCCAACATTCAGGAGCCACTGAAATGATGTGATGCCTTTTGGCTTCCTTCCGGAACCCCCTATAAATTGCCGAAGTGCCCACTAATGTATTTAGAAAGAATAACATGGATATTACTCCCCAACTTTCATCGGACAAAAATATGACTGAAATTGATTTTGCCGGGATCGAGCCGGCAACGACGACGTCACCAGCGGTGGTGACGGCGGTGGGCAGTAGGCTGGATGGTGGTCATTTGACTTGGTGTTGGGTCGGCGGCTGGAAGGTCGGGGAGGGGGCTGGTGCAACGGCGGTGGGGAATTGACAGTGGTTTTGAATTGTGGCAGTGGTGCATGGGCTTGGGAGTTGTGGTGCAGGGGCCTGTTAGCGGTGGTTTCTTAGTCTCAGATCTGCCGAAGGCGGTGGCAATGGTTGAGCATGGGAATGTGCAGGCATGGTCAGAGCAATTGGGGGCTGTTGTGGTTGAGGCGAGGACTGTTGGGTGTACAGTTGCGCTTGTGGTCTTAGTCACTGGTCGGAGACGGCAAAGGCAGTCAATGACGGTGGTGGTATCAGTCACTGGCCGGACGACGATGACAGTCACTATTAGGGGCAATGGTGGGAGTCACTGTGACTGATGGGCGATCACTGTGGCGGTGAGATAGTCACTGGGTTGGGGGCAGTCGCTGTGCTGGTGGGGCAGTCACGGGGCCGGTGGGGCAGTCACTTTGGCGGCGGGTCACTGTGGTGGCGAAATCACTTTGCCTGGAATCACTTTGCATTGCAGGGTTGTTAAGTCACATTTTTAGAATTTTGAAAAAGTTGTCACATTTTTGTCTTTTGTCTTTTTTAATGTAATATCCAGGCCAAAAGACCATGTATTTATACTGGGCATTATTTTCTCTTGTTTGAATGTATGCTTTATTTCCATTCGTCGGTACTTCAGGTTGTTTGCAGGTGTCGCTGAAGTATACGTCCATGTCTTCTCCTTATGAAACTTAGCTAAAAGAAAAGATCCTTTTGTACCCTCGGGGTTCTACGATTTGCCTCTGAGGTGCCTGACTGGACTTTTACCTTAGAAAATCTTTCCACGGCAAAGGGCCCTCCTGTCGGTTGACTGCCCCAGCTTGGCCTTGAACACTTTGAGGTGATCATCAGGATGTAGAAGGTTTCATTAACTGTTGAATGTATGGTTGCACGTCGGTGTAACTTGTTGTACCTCCGAGGTATAAGCCCGAATTTTACCCTGGGAAAAGTTCACCTCAAGAAAAAGTTTCTTAGGTTGCTGCTCGACTCCACTTTGATACCGCCAAAGTGTTCACCGGAATTTGCCTTGGTGGAAAAATTATGACTTGTAAGTAATTTGGGAGTTTTCTCTTTTTGTTGCTCGAGTTTGACTATGTGTCATGTCCTCGGCTCTTTTTTTGTTTTTTCTCTTTACTTTTCGGAGTGAGAAGGTAATGACTTATTTGCGGAACTTTGAGTCCGGGGGTCAGATGAAGGGGTATCTGCTGCCCCTCGTCTTATGGCATTTTGCCTCACTTAATGGTTCCCGGCCTCATATGCCGTTGGGTCAAACTTTATGGTTATCGCACCGAACCCCTCATAATCGCTTTTAAGTATTTGGAGTTATTCGAAGTCTCGGTCATTTTGCGGGTCTGTCGTCCTTCATTTTGGAGAGGACAACCCGACAAGCGTGTCCTTTGGAACCCCAACCATTTTGCAAGCCTATGATCCCAGGTGTTAAGTTATCACCGAACACGCTATCTCGGATTGTAATCGTGGGGGGGGGGGGGGGGGGGGGGGGTCATTTACTTAGTTGTTTTTTCCTTTTTTCTCAATCTTTAGAGATGTGTAGGAAGTATTACTTTATATCAATGATAGTGGCTCTAGGCCGAGGGTCAAAGTCTATCCAGGGGCGGATCTATGAAGGGTAGTGTGGGGGCAGCTGCCCCCAATAAAATCCTACTAATCCATATAATTTATTAGTAAATATTGAAAGTTTTAATATTTGCCCCCAATAAAAAAAATTGAATGCCCCCAATACCTCAGCAGTTCGGCTGTCCGCTCCAAAGCCGAAAATCGGAAATTCAGATTACGGAATCACCCAAACCAACAAATCCAATTACGATTGACTAAGCTCAAATACGACAATTTGCTGGTGAATAGGCGAATAGCAAAGAAAACCTAGGCACTTTGATTAGTCGTGCCTCTCTGTTGTTAAGTCATAACGGAGTATTACTTTTTATACGAAGAACATCTATAAGATTTAATTTATTGGTGTACATCTATACAATTTAATTTAATTGAAGAGTTACTTAAATAATTATAAATCTATTAGTCTAATTTCTTACATCTCAAAGAAAATGTTATTTAATAAGTAAAAAATCATAATTGTAAATCACATGTTAAATAAAATGTACCAATGCAATAAAACTTTAATGGATCTCTTCCAAAAGATGAAAACTTGATGCAAACAATTGTTATGTATTTTGTTAGAAATTTTGCCATTTTAACAATACAATACTTTATTACTACGCTATTTTTATTTTTTTGTTGTACTATATTACTACCTTTGTGCATAGGATTGAGGCATGAAGAGGTGATGCGCTTATAAAAAATGAATTTGTGTGATTTATATTGAATTAATACATTAAGAATAAAGTAAACATGATTTAAGATATTTTTACACTGACTTTTCTTAGTCTCATATCAGACCAAATTTTAACAAACCAGATCAGACCAAATCAGACTTCTGCAGTCATGAAATACACAGAGACTAAACATCTACCATAACAGACCAGACTAGATCAATTTAGACAAGACCGGATTTAAACAGACTAGAAAAATTCAATCCAAGTAAAAACATTCTTATTAGAATCGCACAAACCTTCCTAAATTTAATAAAGGATAATATTAGTGAGGGTTATCTTTTAATTACTCTGCCCCCAATAAGCTTTTTTTCTGGATCCGCCACTGAGTCTATCAATACTCTTAAGGAATTAGCTTGTAAATAAGCTTCTTACCTCGGAAGTGGTGGCTTTGCCCGTCACCACTGCCTTAGGTTATTGATAGAACTGACCAGATGATGTACATTTCACAACCGTGGAACTTCAGACCCATTTGGGTGTTTGAGTTTGTAGGTGCTAGCTTTCCCGACTGTGGTGACGATGTAGGGGCCCTCGTACTTCTAGGCAAGTTTGCCTCCTTCAGTTGGATGACTCGGTTCTTGTCTTAGGAGGACGTAGTCTCCTACCTGGAGCAAACTTTGGCATCATGATAGGATTTGACTTGATGGTGATAGTTCTCAGCTCGGAAGTAGGCTTCAATTGCTCCCTTTGTTTTTCCTATAGTAACCTCAATGCTGAATGGAAGGAATGCAAAACATAGACTAACTCATAAAGAATAAGACTTACGGATGGCAGATCATATCAGACCGGCCTGATGGAACCGCCGTCTGGCCGAGTCCATTTAGGGACCTTCCCGATGGAATTTTTTGATGAAAATTTTTTAGCATGTTCTTCATCAAGTCTAGTTTATCCATAAAAATTTCATCTAAAAATTCAATCGGGAAGGTAGTCAAATAAATTCTTTACAAAAACTGTGCTTTATAAATATATAAACAGCGCAGTTTGTTTCAACAATTTATTTGACTGCCTTCCCGATTAAAGTTTTAGCTGAAATTTGGTATGGATAAACTAGACTTAATGTAGAACATGGTCAAAATATTTCATAAGAAAATTACACCGGGAAGGGTCCCAAAAGCCCTCGTCCGGACGGCGAGTCCTGACAGGATCGCTTCTCAAGACTTACGCATCAGCAAACTTCGATCACAGTAAGAAGTCTCGTTAACTTGTATAATTAGGACATGTCCTTGGTGTGTTTATAACTACAATTTAATACTGTAACCTAGATTTTTAGACCAATTGGGAGATTATTACAATTGAATAGTTCAATTTAGATTAAAAAGGGTAACAAAATAAGACATCGCCAATCATATATTCCCTCAGACATCTACTACCTATGAGAGGAAGGGAGTACGTGCTTTTTAGTTACAGTAGGTACTTTGTGCCCATGCTCTAACTCGGACATCTACTACCTATGTTTTTTGTTAGGTTTTTCATTATATACCTCCTTGTATTTTGAACAATAGTAATGCTGATATAAATTATGTTTTTCTGGTTAAAAAAACTTAATAGTACCTTTCCTATGTGGGCATGTGGCTATGTTACTTATGTATACTATATTTTCTCCAAATGAAATACCTTAATAATGGTTTTACATAAGCTTTCACACCATTAATCATTGTAAATTGTGTTTCTTAACAAAGCCATTATTTCGCGCTTTAATATACTTCGTATAATGTATACATCAAGATAATATAATGTCTACATCAAGATAATATGATCATAACAAATGAGAGTTTAACAAATGATAAGGTGATTAATTACCTAGCAATAAACTTATTCAATACAGGTTTTCAGAAAATGCATCTACTAACAAGCCAAGAACTACCAAATATAAGCTACTTATTTAACAACTACTTGGTTCTTCCCACTCTCATTAAGGCTACATATGCAATCAGCCTGTAACCCACAAGCATGATGAGCAATGCAACAACAGAAAGGGTGACATGTTTCCCAAGCTCAGCTCTCTCAATAGAAGGATGATCCTTAACCAAACAAACCATCCCTCCTCCCCCTCCCGCCGCTGCGGAGGGGCAAAGATAAGTCTCTTCCGGCTTAAACTGTGTCTCCAACAAAAGCTTATACGTATACTGCCCAATGGATACATACTTTATCCATCCTATGAACTTGGGGACATGCCTGACATAAAACCCCCCAGCGAGAAGGAAAGATAACATGATGACCGACCCGAGAGTCGTCGCGGACTTCTGATCCATAACGATTGCACCAATGGCTAGACCGAGACTTTGACAGACCAGTACACAGAGTAGGATGACGAGTAGGGTGGAGAAGAAGTGGCCGGGGGTTGGTTTTAGACCTGCCATCCAGTATGTTATTAGCATGAAGACGGTTGGAAGGACGAGCTCCATGGGAAGGTCGCCAGCGGTTCTTGCCATGAAGAATGACGAGAGCCTATACATTCCTGATGATCTTTCCTTTTTAAGCATTTTCTTCTCTGCTGGGAATGTGAAAATTGCTTGGAACAGTGGGAAGAATCCCCAGAATGATGAACAGAAAAATAACAACCCAATCTGCACCACATACAGAATTATAAATTTAGTCATGTGTAACTTTTGCAATTCCATGTTAGAATGGAAGTAAGGTTCTGATTCCATCCTCAAAGAAGGAGTGGTCCTGAATTTTCTTTATAGCACTTTGTTAGTTCATATTTTTCCAATCTGCACCACATACAAAATCATAAATTCTGTTTCCTAAGGTTCTGGTTCCATCCACATAGAAGAAATAGTCCTAAGTTTTCTTTAGAGCACAACATACAAATTCATATATTTAGTCACGGTTGAATTTGTTAAGATACGAGATTCCATTCGATAGAATTAATGAGTAGTCATAAATCTTCTTATATACTTTACCCGGAAAACTTATTATATATTCGGTAAATCGCTCAATTGAGTGTTTTTTACAAGTTTGATAATTTAATTGATTGATTTTGAAGTATGAGGATCAAATTAACGTTTTGATAGTTTCTCTTTAATAGTGTTCCCAACATTTTAATATAGAAATTCTTAATGCGGACATAATTTTTTTTAACTCAAAATGTTTTCAGTCCCAAACAAAACCCTGATTTGATACAGACAAGACCAGATCAAATCAGATTAGACTTGAACAATTATAAAATACACGTAAAACCATCCTTGCATAACATGATGAGCAATTAAGTAAGTATTTAATTTAAAGCACTAGTTACCTGATCTTGCAAGTCGACGGATTTCCACCACAAAGCACCAGTGAGAAAGGCTACGGCCAAAATCTGGCCGACTTTTAGACCGGAGAAGGAGTCGGACTTGCGCTGTTTCAAACCCCTGTTCAACAGCACTGTGAATTGCTCCCACCAACTTATTGACCATCCTTTGTAATGCTTCTCTTCGCCGGCGGAATTCGCCGAAACATCATCCTCTGTTTTTGTTTCCCGCAGTTCCTCTTTCACCGTTTCTAGCAGATTTGTTTTGAAAGAGGAAACCAAAATCTCCTTTACTGCTGCTTGATTTCCACGTGAATCGTCGCCCGGAACACCTGCACTCGTTTCAAATTCAGAAATTTCGTCACATCGAAACGAGTCCAGTGTTATGGTATCAGCAATGCATGATTATATTTCAACTATTCAATTCTAATACTTCATCAAAGGTACACTGCCTCTAGAATAAGGTAGAATTTGAGTAAAGATATTTCATCCCTCACACTATTTAAGTTAGGAAAAAGGATAAAAATATTGCCTTTATGCTTTTGAATTAGATAAACTACTTTTAATTTTTTTCAAAAGTTAAATATGACTCACCTTTATTTAACTAATCTAAATTTTCAATCCCTATAATTTATATATATATTCTCTGTCCCACCCATATCCAACTGCCGCCTGAAATGTGAACAAGTAAATTTGGAGGACCTTTTGTAGAGTAAACAAATAAATTTTGGTGTTTTTTTTTTCATTTTTTTGTATTCATCGGAAAGAGTGACATGCATGTTCGATGGCAAGAGTAGTAACATAATAAACTTTGTAGATGACATAATAAATGAATGCATATGAAAGTCAAGAATAAGGTCATATATATGCCTTACCGTTGGCGAGATCCAACAGGAAGTCGGAAGGATTCATGGCGACAGAAGGAGAGAACCCAATGCTGGAGAAATAGTTCATAACCTCCGACCCTCTCCCAAAATACAACGGACTTCCTTCGCACAACAAAAGCACTTTGTCGAACATATAAAACAGCCTGCTCGACGGCTGGTGGATGGTCATCACCACCGTCCTCCCGCCGTCCTGACTCAGTTCCCACATCCTCGACACGATCCGCTGAGCCGTCGTCGAGTCCAGCCCCGACGTCGGCTCGTCCAGCAAAAGCAGGCTCGGGTTTATGAGCATTTCTTGTCCAATACTAACCCTCTTTCTTTCTCCCCCGGAAACCCCTCTCATCCAAGCACCGCCGACCAGGCTGTTCTTGCACTTGCTCAGCCCGAGCTGAGCGATCACCGCCTCCGCCTGTGTGACCTTTTAATAGAGTAGAATTATTATTAGACTAGATTTCATCTTATTTGTATTATGATATGTGTATAACTTTATTACTCAGTAAAATATACTCCCTCCATCCCGCATTAACTTCATAGTATGACTTTTTGACTCATACTTTGTTAATTTTGACAGTTAATTAGTCAAAACCACATTATTTATAATAAAAATAATAATTTTGAATGCTTTATTTTAATATATATTATTGAAATGTTATTTTATTACAAAGTTTATAAGTGTATATTTTTATATATCAATGGACAATCATTCATATAGGAGACCGTGAAATGTAGAAGGTAAAGTTAAATAGTGCTCTATTACCTTATATGATAGTCAAAGTTACGAGTCTGATTAAGTCTGATTATTATTCTCACCTTTTCTGACTTCGTTAGACTTCTTGGCAAACGGAGGAGGGCCGAAAAAACTAGGGTTTCCGTGACGGTGAGTTGAGGGTACATGATTTCATGCTGAGGGACGAAACCAGTGTTGCGTTTCATGGCATTTGAAAACGGTTTGCCGTTATAGGTTATTTTTCCGGTGAGCTGATGACGACCGTTGTCATCGAGCCGCCCGCCTAGTGCAGTCAGGAGGGTTGTTTTCCCGGACCCTGAAGGTCCCAACATCGCGAGCATCTCCCCGGGAAACACCACACCCGTCACCCCCTTCAGGATCGTTTTCTCGGCTTGAGCTTTCTGTTTCCTTGTTTTCATCAGTAACGACAAACCTTCTTTCTTGCTCGGCTTGATCTTGTAAACCACGTCTTCAAACTGCATGTCAAAATAAATTGCTTAAATTAAGTTATAAATATGTCTTTTATTGTTTTATTTTCAAAATATACCTTATTCACCCTTATTTAGAGATGTTTTTATAATTTTTTAAATAGGACTCAATTTATAAATAAGACATATTTGTGGAATAAAACATATCTAGTCCTGTGATCGAATTTTGCGTATGCATTAATCATATATATTGAGCTATTTCTATATTTAATTTTCAAACTAAACTTGTTTTGTTGTAGGGACTAAATTGTACTCCGTATTAAATAAGTAAACAATAAAAATTTGGAAAATTCAAGAAATAGGGATCAAAATATTTAATTTTTGAAATTTCAAAATTAAATAGAAGCATGTTTTTATTCTCTAAATATGAATAGTAACCTGCAGAGCTTAAACAATGCTCCCATGGTTAAAGCATATAAGTTCAATTCTGGAATTAACAAATGTTTATGCTCTCAGTTAGGACAATTAAGTCAAAAGTAAAAATTCCTTAAATAAGTTAGAGCTACAGATAAATTGCACAAATATAATCATCATTTTTTATTCCTAATTTAAAATATATTGTTCCTAATTGAGCTCCTAATTAATCAGGATTTTTTTTTTATTTTTAATATAATCAAATAACTCAAAAATAAAACCCAACTACTCCATTCTATGTACGTATGCACTTTATTTTTGTTTTAGGGTATATTATCAAATATTAACACGAAGTATATTTCTAGGTTGACAAATTTGACATACGACAGTGATATGGATGTATTAAAGCATCAATTTCTATATAGTTGCATTATACAGTTGTTAGTAAATTTGTAAAAAACGGGTGAGTTTGGATCTGATTCTTAAAACTGCTTTTGTCCCTTCAGGTAGCAGAAACAGAAGTGGAGTGTTTGGGTGAAAGTGCAGAAGTACTTCTGGTGCTCTAATTTACGTCTAGAAACAGTTGTTTTAGAAGCCGGGGGAGACCAACTTCTAAAAACCGATTCTAAATCTGCTTTAAAAAAGAAGGAGAAGCAGAATCAGTTCCTAACACCCCATACAGCTTCGATCTAATAGCTAGCACATTGAGTTAATTAAAAAGAAAATGGATATTTTGCCATTGGTGTTAATTTAAATAAGTTTTTTCAAAAATATTACTAATAAAAGATCAATAGATAAAAACTTGATTATATGTTACTATATGTAAATTTATAGTCAGTATAATGTAGCATTTGAATATAATCAAATGCTACATTTTGTCCACTACGTCTATTTTAATTATATCTAGAATATAATCACTACTACATTTTTAGACCTAACTTAACATTAAAGATGTAACATATCTATAAAAGTGTTACATATTTCTCTAATGTAACACTTTTTAGACCTAGTGTAACACGTTCTAGAAATATATAGGAAGCGGTCCAGCCCAGCTGGTCGCCGACTCACTCTCCCTTACGGGAGGTCTCGGGTTCGAACGAAATTCAATGGAGTGAGTTTCAGCTAGATTACTCCAGGCTCCCCGGCCCCCTCCCCCAGACGCCCTAGAGTAAAAAATAAAAAATGCTAGAAGTATAAGTGTTACATTAGGTACAATAGGTTAAATGAAACACGAGTAAATGTAATGGTAAAAAATGTTACATTTTCTCTATGGTAACACTTTTCAGTGACACTTTAACACTTTTGGGTGATAAATGTTGCAGTGAATTATATCTAATTTAAAGAGTAGAAAACAACACAAATGAAACAATTTTGAAAACCCTAGATTGAGCTACTTTCGACTTAAAAAGAGAATAATTTATACTTTATGTTTTATTGGGCACTTGTACTCTATCAAAGAACTTCACACTCGATCTTTTGTAAAAATTTGAAAGAAAAAAGAAGCTAGAATCGTATTTCCTTTTCAATTTTCAATGAGAGAAATTGGTTTGGACCATAAACTACAGCAATAGATACCTTCAAAGTAACTGGACGGGTGGGTTTCTTGAAGATGGTAGAGTCGTCGCCATTGACTTGAGCGGTGGCTGCCTCTATATCAGCCGCCACTTCCGTACCCATTATATATATGTCGTCGTATTTCTCCACAACTTTCCGGCCGGCCGGCTGATATATCGATCGATCTGATCGGTGCCGGAAATATATATAATAAATACTCCGTAGTAATGTAGTATATAATACTAGTAATTAAGTTCTAATTATATAATAAATCTGGTGATCGATATTCGATAATATAATATATATATTTGTTACGTTAAATATATTGTGAAACAGCGGATCTATTTAGCTGTGTACGTCGCTTGTAGAAGTCGACGTACTCCAGAACAGAAAAAATCGATCATGCGAGAGTGATGAATCTAAACAGAATTTTAATTTGGTGATTAATTAATTAATGGAGGAATTGAAGGAATACGGAATACGTATGTATATATACGTGTGAAGAGAGTTTTTTACGGCGGGGACTCCACACTCTACTGGGAGTCTGTTCCGCCAGCTGCTCAACTGTAATCTGCGTCTACAACTTCTCGTGCCGCTTCGATTTTCTCTTTTTAACCGGTGAGCGACCGTAGCGAGGAAGTGCCACACGAGGTAGGTTACGATTTCGAATCTCGTCAAGTGCGATGAGATGTTACTATGCTAAAAAAATGCATGGTTTCTGCAAATATCGAGGATAAAGCCTCACTCTCTATCTGTCAGGTTGAGATTATAGTTCAATTTACATCCACTCAACATACTGTCCGGTCGGGGTTGGGGGCCCCTCAGGGATGAGGTGTCATCCTTTTTTTCGATTTTCTCTTTTTATGTTAAATTATTACTACCTCCATCCCAAATTGACATTTCTTGTTCAAAGATATGATCTTCGGACAATGATTTAAATTACTATATTTGCATATAATTTATAAATTTTAAACTTTTATGAAAGTTTTTTCAATAAAAACACTTTGATATAATTTTCATATTCAAAATAATTTTCATATTAAAAAATATCAATGGTCAAAGTTAATTGTCATTGATAAAAAAAAATCATTTTGGCAAACCTTTTCAAGACGGAAGAAGTATTGTTATCGTGACTCACGAAGGTTGATAGTCAAGATTAACTGCCATTCAAAAGAAAAGATAAAATGATTACAAAAATTCCTTTTGTACACGCCAAGTTTTACAGGCCGGGTTACACGTCTGTCAAATTGTCTGTGTACAAACAATTTGATCGACTACACAGACATGTTGAGCGGCGATTTATGAAGAAAACTGATTTTCACACAGGTAAAAATAAAAAAATGTCTGTATCACAGATACTTTATGAAAAATTCAGGTTTAAAATGTCTGTGATACAGACAACTCTTTGTATTTTGTCTGTATGAGAATCGATTTTTTTCATAAAACGTCAATCAAATTGTCTGTCTAGCCGATCAAATTGTCTGTATACCGACAATTTGGCAAGGTCTCTGTCCATAGTCGATTAAGGGCCTCACTAGGCACCGACCCAACCAATTTTTTATGTTTTCTATGTGAAAAATATCACGAAAGTTCTTTTTGTTTGTCTACCCTAGCTGATTTCTTTTTGGGTACACTACATACATCACTGCCAATACCAACAAATTATGTTAGTCGTGTTTATCAATTGTTATCATTAGCGGATTGAAGATCTCGAACTCCCAAGAAAAAATCTCTAATGTACTCACTCCTTTCCTAAATAAACTTTCAATTTTCCTTTTTCGTCTGTTCCAATTAAAACTTCCACTTTCCCTTTTTGGTAAAGAATTTGTGGTTCACAACATTTCTTACACATTTCTCTTCTGCACAACTCTCCACCACACAATATCCACTATCTTAAACTTTGTGCCAAACCCATTTGAAAGTTAAAATGGGAACGAAAGTAGTATATGTTATGTATTTAAACCGTTGGCCCCCACAATGCAAAAATTTACAAGACTCGGCCGATCTAACTAAAGATTCCTGGCTTCGCCATTGATCGAAATAAAATGTCTTTTTGATAGCTTAGCCATTCACTATTAGTTCTACCATTGCTCTACAATTTTTAATACCCGTATATGTATGTGTTATGTGCTAATGAAGAGAAGAGATTGACTCCGTAGCCCTAATTCCCCCTGTATATATATATGTGTTATGTGCTAATGAAGAGAAGAGATTGACTCCGTTCATAACACGTTATCAGCACGATCGTTCTCAAATCTTTTTTTTTTTCCCTCTAATCGGTAGTAAGGATTTGAGAGACTATGGCTATCGATCCAATAACCATGGATGAACTGCTCAAGCCTCTCATCGATGAAGATGCTTTTGGTCTCTCGTCTCGGTGTCGTAGTACAAAGTATCTAAATGAGAGAGAATCCTGATGAAAACAAATCTTCTCGACAAACCTAGGATAACAATCAAGATCCTCAATTCCCTCCTATATATCCATATCTGTCTAGCCTCTTGAATACAAATTTCCAGGTATCTCAATATACACAACCGTCTATTGTGATTAACTTGATCTCCATATTATGCATATCCATAAATGATGATTGCATTAGTGAAAAAATGATGAACGGGCTGAACTCCTTGTTTGCTAAGAACTGTCAATTTTTTTAACAAAAGATGAAAAAGCAGTTCACAATTATTCTAGCTTTTGCCTTATAATTGAATTGAAATTCATTGTAAAAGGAAAAAAAAATCCAGTTTTTCTTAACTACGTATGATTGATAAAAAAATGCAATATATTGTACGTTTTTATTTAGTAATTCTATGGACATCTATTGTGGAAAAAAAAAACACAACTATATTAGTTTTGTCCATATGTTTTTGTTTATGGAATTTATTTCGGACAAACTTTCTTAGCATCTCTCCCGATGGAGACTATGTATATATATCATCATAACAGCTGTTTTACAATAAAAGCAACTTTAAGCATTTCAATGTCTTGCAATTTTGATGCAATATGATTAGAAGAAATTGATATGTCCCCAGTCATAACATTATAGCAACATGCAATTTTCAAAACGAGTGTTTGTAGACCCATCAGGAAGTAATCCAGGGTGATAAAATTTTGAATGTTGATTCGCCATTTTAATTATGATTGAGGTCTTAACTCTTTTTCCGTTTTGTTTTTGAACGTTGAGCTGCGAATGATTGATTATGGCATTGATTAATTGATCGTTAAAATTTAATAGCATATACTCCGAATTAATGTTGGGACGTTACATTTATGCTTTAAGATTTCTAACCTGCTCAACTCCAATGCTTAAGTTTTCTAGTCATTTTTAGGTATTCATCTTTATTACTCTAGACTAGATGTTTTCTACGTTGCAGCTTTTGATCTTTTAAATATTAAATGCTTTTTCAATTGTTGGAGCTTTGCAAACTAATTCTACTCCGTAATACACAAAGAAATTTTTCTTTAAATTGTTTTTAGTGCTCTTGTTCCCATTCAAAAATTAATATGACTAGTACATACTTATATATTTTCCCCTCTATAATCGCGGACAACGTAACTAATTAAAACTTGTACCCTCATCAACCCACCACCAGAACCAGATGGCAAATCCCTGTTCAACCGCAATGGTTTTCTTTTATTTTGCTCTACTGGGATTCAAACATAAGGCATTATAGAGATCACCATCACATGTGACCACTAAAGTTACGAAATGTCACATTTGGTAAGAGCATTATAATTCAACAATGTTTGAACTTTTACAAAAAAAAAAGGAATTTAGTGACATTTATGACTCAATATCGGTTATAAAAGGACATTTACTTGTTCAATTAACGACATGTATTAAATTTCATTAGTATCTAATAATAATTTTTTTTGACCATAGTATCTAATAATAATTAAATCCATTTAGGACATTTACTTGTTTCGATGTACTTGAGTTAAAGATATATTTTTAGAACCATATTTTAGAAATTAACACGGCAAGAGTTTAATTATGTATCATAATTTGAATCTCAAACGAGAGATCAATTTGTTCTCGCTCCCGCGGTAGCGTTTTTCTTAAGTAGTTTTCGAAATTTCTAGTTTAAAGTGCTCTTAGTAGTCTTTCATTGCTTTGATTATGTATGGTGGAAATATTTATTTGTTCATTAAAAATGCATTGTCTCTCTAATGCGTATTTGTATTATGATAAATTAATTCATGCTACTTTGAGCTAATGTAAGCATTAAGAAAAATGCATTGGAGACCACAGGTACATTACACATATATCTCTATTTATAATTTGGTCATATTGAAACATAATATGATGACATATATATTTATATGATATGCTTGAATGTTGAATATTATCCGATAAGTTTTTTTGACTCGTATAGCTTCAATATTTTATAAACACTCAAATAAGTGATATACTTCGAAAATGTGTGATTAGAGAAAAATGATAGACTTCAACAATATATTCAAAATATAGTTAAATATTGTTATGGGTAAGTAAATAACGCCTACAAAATCACAAGTTAGTGCAGTTATGTATAATGATTAGCTTAAATTAATCCACTCAAGAGGCAGAAAATAAACAAAGTTTCATAAATGAAAATATGAAATTACAACGATGTGCCAGAAGTCACTATAAGAGGATAGATTTAGCATATGACTTGAGGGTTGTACTTGTTTTCAATTATTGAAATAAATATTATTTATATTAAATTTCGGACACTGAGAAGTATAATAATGATAATATTTTATTATATGTCAAGGTAAATTTTACGAAATTCATTCAAGTGAGTACTTTGAGACAAGCTAGTATTTAAGTATTCTTTAACAAATTTGATTATTTGATACCTTTTATGTTACTCCAGAAGTAGCATTATCTCATCTTTAGACTCTCCATATACATTTCTAGGTGAGTGATTCATATTGTTTCTATGAAAGTAAGAAATCACTATATAAATGATTATTTTAGAGATAAATTATTTTTGTCTTAAGGGTGATATAGTGCCTGAAGCATGTATATACTTGTGGCATGGAGCCCGAAATATATTAACTTTTGATAGAGTAATATAGATTAGGGATACAAAGTAATGGAAGCACAAATTATATTTATAAACAAGTTGTGCACATATATAATAATGATAAAATCTCAGGCATTAAGTGTAAGCTCCAAGAAGCTACTCAAACACTGCGAAGTAGTAGTTTGAAAAGTGATATCATACTTATTGGGTGATAGTTTGAGACCATACCAACGCAGTGTAACTTGTGTTTCCATAATATTTGCCTGTAGCAGAACTCTCCTCACACTATACTATATATATATATATATTTGAATAATTTAAACATGTGTTGAATGCATGAAGTTTAAGATTTTTGAATAAATGACCACTTTAAGGTCAACCCAGGTTTAAACCAAATGCCGTATAAGACATCCAATATATAAATACTTCTTTGACAAGAAAATGGCAAGAC